GGGATGGGCCTTTCCTGAGTCGGAGGGTGAGGGTCCACGCTCTGTGGGTCTTTCATTACAAAGGTAAAGAAGGGGGATCTAGGGCATCACCTGTTTCCCCCCATTCTACCACATCTCTTATGCTTTAAATTTTAAATTTTTTAACTGTGGATTCCCATGGTCGCTCAGTGGCAGATCATCATTGGTGACCCCCTATACAGAATAAGCCACTGGTAAAATGAAAGGACCTCTCTACAGGCCTATGGAAAGGACCAGATCAGGTTTTGGTGTGGGCCCGAGGGTCTGTTTGGGTTTTCCCACAGGATGGCGAAAGTCCAATATGGGTGCCTGAGTACTGAGTGCATCATGTTGTTACTGATTCCCTCATCAGCAGGAGACATTCTGGGCATTCGTGAGGAGCCCTCGATCCTGATGCCTACATGCCATTTAAGAAGTTGTTGGAGTAGTGAAGAGTGGCTTTGGTGGTATGTGTTCCTGGAATAGTGCCCTTGCTGGTTGGACATACAGAAGAGAATCAGCTCGTTCTCACTCTTCACAAGACAGACTTTGGCATCACTGCCACTGTTATCACTACCATTGCGGTGGCTGCCACTGCTGCTACAGCTTCCAATATTGCCCTGTCCCAATCAGTTGTTACAGCAAGCACGACGGACAAACTTTCAGGGGAGGTTGCTGCTGCCCTCCACACACAGAATAAAATTAATTTCTTGATTCAATTGGGCATTTTAAATCTTAAATCAAATAGTTATCTTACTGGACCTTGGAATAATAATTTTACAACCCAGTACTAAATTTTACTACTCAGTATTAAAATTACTGAGACTAAAGTACCCCCTATGGCTGGGGACACTCTCACAATGCCTACACTTGGCAGGTCAATTGCTAAAGGAATGGAGTGGTTCACTAGCCACAGGTCTAATTAATAGCCCTTGGCAGTGCCGCCCTAGCCTTGGTCTACCTTTGCCATATGGGAAAGCAACAAGCCCAGTATCCATTTCACATGAAAGAAGTCATGCTCTCTTTGGCTCAGGTATGGTTGAGCAAGCCAGACAAATGAGTGATCAGAGATGGGTAAGACCTAGGGGATGTCTGTCTATCAACCCAAGACAGAAGGTCTGTGGGGCCTGGGCAGGCTTTTCGATGGCGGTAAGATAGATGTCAATGTCCTAGGTAAAGAAGAGGGACCTGTTGGGCCCTACCCCTGGGAGATCTGCTGACCAGCTTGTTGACCAAGTGCTTATCATGCTAGAATATCCTGCAACCATCCTTCTGAGATGACCTGACCATAAATTCCTCTTTCCACCCCCAGCTGAGACACCTCCTGCTTATGAGAACTCGAACTTCTGACCCTGGTTGTTTTCCACTTATGCTTTAAGACTGTATATAAAGCTCCCATGTTCCTTCAATAAGCGGCATTCTCTTAGCATGAATGACCCACTGTCTTACCCTTCTTTTAAATTCTCAGACCCTTGCTGGACCCATTGTGTAATACAGGAGGGCAGCAGAAGATTTCTATTATCATGTATAAAGAGCAAATAGCAATCACTTCCCTTAATCCTAAAGACACTTTGTAGCTGCAGTACTCTTTTGCCTTCAGGCACTCCATAGCTGCAGTATCACCTAGCTTTCAGGTTGAGTGTAAAAGCATCTGGGCCCAAGTCTATTGTTACTTAGATAGGAGCCTGGGCATCCTGTAGCCATTAAGCTAATGTCTTAAGGACAATAGGAGTGATTTGAGCTCTCTGAACTCCTGGCAAGATGGAATGGACTCCCATTTATGGGTCCCATCAGTTACTCCAACTGATTCTTCAGGAAATGGAGCTCATTACTGTGTTCTGTTTTGTTCTAAGAACTGAAAAAGTATTTGGGATGCCTTTCTATAAAACAAGATTATATGTATATATTAATGTACAACTTGTGTCTCAAGATATTTGCAAAGTACATAACTGTTGCTTCTGAAAAGGACTGCAGGGCCACATAAATAGAATGTATTTGGTGGTTACATACTAAACATGGAACGTGAACTATTTACAAATCACCATACTTAGGTTAAGAAATCTGAATAGACAAGTCTCCCCTTTAGTGTTTGAAAAGCAATGAATGAGGCAATGGTTACTAATATGAAACCTTTTACCATGACAAACAGATAATTCAGTTTAGGTAAATGTACAGATTATTATTATTTTTTTACACTATTGTTCCTGCTTAATACTCACTGATCTTGTATTTGAGATAAATAAGTGGCACTGACTTTTTTTTTACTATATTTTCTACTCTTACATTAACATTTGGGCTACTCCAGGCCTTGGTAGCTCACACCTTTAGTCCCAGCACTTGGGAGGCAGAGGCAGGTGGATCTCTGTGAGTTAGAGGCCAGCCTGATCTTCAGAACGAGTTCCAGGACAGGCTCCAAAGCTAGACAGAGAAACCCAGACTCGAAAAACCAAAAAGAAAGAAAAAGAAGGAAGGAAGGAAGGAAGGAAGGGAGGGAGGAAGGAAGGAAGGAAGGAAGGAAGGAAGGAAGGAAAGAAGCCATTGGCATCTTAAAGTAAAATGTGAAAGCTTCTTTTGGCTTCATCTCAGTTTGAAGCAATAGGTACCACTACAAAGATTGTATGCATGAACCTGAAATCCTTAAAAAAGTTTTTTTAATCCTGTTGAAGGAAAATCTCTTATCACCTTATCTAGAAGTTCATAGTGACTGGTCATTATGCTTTTTTGAAAGGATATAACAGCATGACTAAGAGGACCATTAGAGTAGTTCTCCTCTAAACAGAAGAGCAAGATCCCTGGAGAGCACCTGTCCTAATGGCAGTGTCATTGACATCATGTTACTGTCACTGCCAGTTTTAACATTTATTTTCTACCAAATTTAATTACTTTTGCATTTTCTTCATGTCCTTTAAAAGTAACCTATATCTGAACAGATACTTGTTTTATACAAGAATTTTTTAGAAAGGATAAAACTAAGTTTGGCCAAGGTTATGTCTGACTGAACTTTCATTAACCTATGGGGATTAGATGGGATTTCTCCCTATGTAATAAAACCCAATAAAGAAAAAACATAGCATGGTCAACAAATGGTGCTGACATAACTGGATGCTGGTGTGTAGAAGACTGCAGATAGATCCTTATCAATCCCCATGCACAAAACTTAAGTCCAAATGGATCAAGGACCTCAACATAAATCCAGCCACACTGAATCTCTTAGAAGAGAAAGTGGGAGGTGGGAGGTACCCTTGAACAAATTAGTATAGCAGACAGATTCCTGAACATAATACCAATAGCACCAACACTGAGATTGACAATAAATGGGACCTCATGAAATTGAAAAGCTTCTGTAAAGAAAATGACATAGTTAACAATAAAAAACGGCAGCCCACAGAGTGGGAAAAGATCTTCACCAACCCCACATCTGACAGAGGGCTTATTTCCAAAATATACAAAGAACTCTAAAAACTGGTCACCAAATAATCCAATTAAAAAGTGAGGTACAGAACTAAATAGAAAATTCTCAATGGAGGAATCTAAAACAGCTGAAAGACACTTAAAGTGCTCAACATCCTTAGCCATCCGAGAAACGCAAATCAAAACAACTCTGAGATACCATCTTACTCCTGCCAGAATGGCTAAAATCAAAAACAGCAAAGACAGTTTATGCTGGAGAGGATGTGGAGAAAGGGCAACTCTCTTTCACTGCTTGTGGGAGTGCCAACTTGTACAACCATTTTGGAGATCAGTATGGCAGCTCCTCAGGAAAATGGGAATCAGTCTACCACAGGATCCAGCTATTCCACTCTTAGGCATATACCTAAAAGATGCACATTCATACAATAAGAACATCTGTTCAACTATGTTCATAGCATCATCATTTGTAATAGCCAGAACCTGTAAGCAACCCAGATGCCCCTCAACTGAAGAATGGACAGAGAAAATGTGTTACATTTACACAATGGAATACTACTCAGTGGGGGGGGGAATGGAATCTTGAAATTTGAAGGCAAATGGATGGAACTAGAAGAAACTATACTGAGTGAGGTAACCCAGTCACAAAAGGACAAACATGGTATGTACTCACTCATATATGGATATTAGACATAGAGCAAAGGATCACCAGCCTACAATCCACACCGCCAGAAAAGCTAGGAAACAAGGAGGACCCTAAGAGAGACATACATGGTCCCCCACAGAAGGGGAAAGGGACAAAATCTCCTGAGCAAATTGGGAGCATGGGGGAGGGTAGAGGGAGTTAGGAGGAAGAGAAGGGGAGAAGAGGAGTGGAGAGGAGAACATGGGGGAGCAGGAAGATTGAGTCAGGGAAAGAACAGAGGAGAGCAAGGAAAGAGATGCCATAATAGAGGGAGCCATTATAGGTTTAAAGAGAAATCTGGCACTAGGGAAATGTTCAGTAATCTACATGGATGACTCCAACTAAGAATCTAAGCAATAGTGGAGAAGCTACCTTAAATGTCCTTCCCCTACTATAATGAGATTGATGACTACCTTATATGCCTTCCTAGAGCCTTCATCTAGTAGCTGATGGAAGCAGAAGCAGACACCCACAGCTAAACACTGAGCTGAACTTCTGGCATCCAGTTGCAGAGAGGGAGGAGTGATGAGCAAAGGGGTCAAGTCCAGACTGGAGAAACCCATAGAGACAGCTGACCTGAACAAGACACCAGACTGATAACTGGGAAACCAGCATAGGACTGACCCAGAACCCCTGAACATGGGTCTCAGTTAGAAGGCCTGGACAGTCTATGGGGCCTCTGGTAGTGGATTAGTATTTATCCCTAGTATACAAATGGACTTTAGGAGCCCATTTCCCATAGAGGGATACTCCCTCAGCCTAGACACATCGGGGAGGGCCTAGGCTCTGCTCCAAATGATATGACAGACCGTCCTATTCCCTCTCCTCTAACTCCAGACACTCCTAATCACAGCCAAGCAAACCTTCCCCTTTTGGCCAAAGTGGTTTGGGTCACATCAGTGTGGCAGAGTCAGTCCTTCTGTAAGCTGAACACTACATATTGTGCCAGGGTGAGCAAGAGGCAAGAAGCAAAGAGAAATGTGACCTTGTGGCCCAAGACCACCACTCCACGAGAGGTGTCATACAATGAGATGTTGACCAGCTCCCAGGTGGTGTTGGCTATTTTCTCCACAGGGGCTCCTGGGGCCAGCAGCTTGGAGAGGAGACTTCTGAACCTGCTCACGGTGGTGGCCACTGGCTCTGGACTGGGGCTTGGACTGGATTTGGTGAAGTTTAACTCCTCGGGGTCTACACACAAGCCATCAGAGGAACGCTCAAAGACCACCTGGCTGAGATCCAGACCAGCCACTGAACCTGGGGAGGTGCATGCCACATCAGCCACACGCCCAGAGCCCTCCATCCAATCGCGCAGCCACTCCAGATGGCAGTCACAATGCCAAGGGTTACGGAAGAGAAAGAGGCGGCCCAGGAAGAAGCCAGGCTGGAAAGCAGCCCAGGAGAGCATGGTGAGGCGGTTACCATTCAGATGCAAGGCCAGGAGGCCCGAGAGGTTCTGGAAGGCACCTTCCTCCACAAAAGTGATGCTGTTACGGTCCAGGTAAAGCAGCTCGAGCTCTGCCAGGTCGGAGAACCAGGCACGCGCCACATGACCCAGCTCATTGCCACCCAGATTGAGTGTGCGTAGGTGGCGCAGGCCCAGGAAGGCAGCTGCAGGCAGTGCGGCCAGCAGGTTGTCATTGAGCAGCAGATGCTCTAGGGTGCCACAGTCGCTGAAGGCCCCAGCATGCACTGCGCGCACGCGGTTGGCCTGCAGGCTGAGTGAGCGCAGGCGCCTCAGGCCCTGCAAGGAGCTGGAAGCCACAGCTTCAATGCGGCTGCGCTCCAAGTGCACATGTGTCAGGTTAGCCAGGCCGCGTAGTGCACCGGGCACCCTGCGGAACAGATTGTCAAAGGCTGTGAGCTCACGCAGGGCCGGCAGCTCGGCCAGGAGACGCTCGGGCACACTGAAGAGACGGCAGGCCGCCAGATCCAGGCGGCGCAGGCGACCAAGCGCCGCGAAGGTTCGTGCGTGCAGATAGCGCAGCTCGCCATTGTGTGCCAAGCGCAGCTCGGCCAACCTCGGTAGACCCTTGAAGGCACCGGGCGTGATGAAGGACAGGTTGTTGTGGCGCAGCGACAGGCGGCGCAATGACGGCAGTGTGCCAAAGGCCCGCTCACCCAGGATGCGCAGGCCATTCCGGTCCAGGTCGATGGAGACCGCCTCACACGGAAACTCAGTGGGTACCCGCAGGAGGCCCGCACGGTCGCAACGCACATAGCAGCCTCGCTCGATGCTGCTGCAGGTGCAGGCCGCAGGGCAAGCCTGCAAACAGGCCTCGGTGGCCAGGGTGCAGGGCAGGCCGAAGATCACCGCTGGACAAGAGGGTCCAGAAGAAGAAAAGATAAAGATCAGAGGTCACCCCAGTAGCAGGCTGCAGACCCAGTCCTGCATCATCAAATGGCCTCTTCCCATCTGCTAACCAGCAGAGGTTTCCCCATCTCCAGTGCCCTTCCCTTTGCTTTCCAATTACCTTAATCAGCAAAATCTATACTGCAGTCCCTGCATCCCACTTTTCTCTAAGTTTCCTTACCTGCTTTTAGAATGTGACTACAAGATCTGTTGGTTGTATGGATAGGGGAATCTCTGAGGGTGTCACTATATCCTACGTTAAGGCTTGTGCAGCCCAGTGCAGTGACCAGTAGCCACATGGGCCCCTAACCATTTAAAATGTGTCCAGCCCAAATTAACTAATATAAGTATATAGTGGGTGACAAAAAAAGTAAAATATTATATCAACAATTATGTATGGGTTACATATTTGGAATTGTATTTTTGTATGATATATTGGGTTAAATATTAAAGTTAATGTCCAATGTTTGTACCTTTTTAATGTGGGTAGTTGGGAAATGTATTTACATGTAGGGTTTGTGTTATATTTCTATTGGTGTCATGGCCCCTTTCATCGTAAGAATTCAATTTTTGAAAAACCCCAGTGAGTCAACTAGGCCTCATGAAAAAGGAATTGGGGGGGGGGTTGGAGATGAAAGAAAATTGTCTTTCTTTTTAACAGTCACTTAAAAGTTAAAAATTAAGGATCTCAGTAATGGCAGAAATAAAAATGAACATGCAAGATGAACTCTCAGGCAAGTTTCAATTGGAAGGAAAGGGGGGACAGCATTTATAGTGGGAGATCCCAGGTAAGTGCAGACATGGGAGAAAAATAAAACAGGCATTTTACTGACTTGTTTGAGCAGTTGTGGGTCTAGTGGTTTTTGTTAGTCACCAGGCTTAGTGGCTGGTGAGTCACCCTGTAGGGTTTCTTGTTATCTTGTGATAAAGGACAAGCACATGCCATATGTTGTCAGTAAGGGAAAAGGGACTCTTGGTGGGTTATCAGGTTATAAATTAAGGCCATGAGGACCTTTTATTTTCTTGTCCCTATGAGGTTTCCTAGTTCCCTTTTTCCCCCATCTTATTTTACTTTATTTTATGCCTGTGTGTGGGTATGTTCATGCAGAGGTCAGTTTTCTCCTTTCTAGCATGTGGGTCCCAGGGATCAAACTCAGGTCATCCAGTTTTGTGACAAATGTTCTTACCAGCTGAGCATTCTCACCAGCACTATATGAACTCTATTATTTCAAGGACAGCATATTAAATACACTATCAGCAACCCCCTACATCTCAAAAGAATTGATTATGTCTAGTAATGGATCAGTATTTATCCCTAGTATAAGAATGGGTTTTAGGAGCCCATTCCACATAGAGGGATACTCTCTCAGCCTACACACATCGGGGAGGGCCTAGGCCCTACTCCAAATGATATGACAGACTTTGAAGACTCCCCATGGAAGGCCTCACCCTTCCTGGGGAGCAAAAAGGGGATGGGTTGGGGTTTGGTGGGGGCAATAGGGGAGGATGGGAGGGTGAGGGAACTGGGATTGATATGTAAAACAAACTTGTTTCAATTTTAAATAAAAAAAGGGGGGGAAAGAATTGATTATGGACACTATGCAGTTAAGTTCCATTCATCAGCCCGTACTCTCTAGAAACCTTTTTACATCATATTGGGAAAGAAAAATGCTTATAAATTTTGTTCTGAAAATTCAAGTGGGTGATCAATAAAGTCATCAAAACCTGCCCCGTCCCAATATGGTTGCCACTGACAACAAACAGGATTATCATGGCCTTCTTCCTTGTGCAAGGCTGTGGTCCCAAGTCTAGTCTGAGGACCAATAGAAAAGGCAGTATTAAGACTGGGGATGTAGCTCGATTGGTAGAGTGTATGGCTAGCACACTCAAAGCCCTGGATTCAATCCACAGTACTGCATAAACTGGGTGTATGGTACATGCCTGTAATCCTAGCACTAGGGAAGTGAGGGCAGGAGGATCTCAATGTCTAGGTTATCATCGGCTACATAATAAGTTCAAGACCAGCCAAGGATACACAAGACCCTGTAGAAAAGAAAAGGAAGAGAAGAGGAAGGCAGCACTGACAGATGGACCATTTGGTTTTTCAATTAAGTGATTTCAGGCAGTGTTCAATTTCACACTTTATACAAGGAAAATGGGTATCTAAGTGTAAACGTGTCCAATTTCTAAACACCCTGGCCTGTCACATCCCTCCCGTCATGTACACAGTACCTTGCCTCTCTAAGCCCCTGTGGGAACCTGAAGGCATAGACAACACAGGAGTATGTTCAAGATGCTTGCTGTTGCCTTTGTAGGCTTCCTCAGCTTCCAGTAGTTCATCTGTTGTAAACACTCCATGGATTTTTAACTGCTGAAGAGAGTACGGCCCTTTCAGACTTGTCTTTGAGTGTTCAATTGAAAGTGGGCTCCTTCAATATTCTGCTGTTGAGGAAGCTTGATACAGCCTTCCCTTCTCCCTAAAAACTGTGAAATAGACATCAAGCTACCAGCAAGATTCTTGGAACTTATGCCATCAGATTAGTATACCTTGCTAGGGAGGCAGGGCCAAAAAGCCTTAACTGCAGTCCTCCACAGAACAGGAGTGACCTGTTCTCATCAACCCTTCCAACTAGGTCAAGTTGAAGTATCACATTTCCTTACCAACAGCCCTTTATTCTACTCTTCTTTCTAATTAAGAAAAGTACACTCTCAATCCTGTGACTCATGTTTCTCCCACTGAACAGCCAGCATTGTTCCAAGCACTCAGTAAATGTTTGCAGAAGTAAATGGAATTGATGCCTTTGTGAGCTTCTTGCCAAAGAATGTCATTTGTTTTAAGAACTCTTTGTAGACAACTCATAGGATTATCAAAAGGTGGCTCACAACTTCCTGTAACTCCAGCTATAGAGAATTATATTATTAACTATACCTTATAATATAGATTATCACAACTGATACATAATTATCACAACTGATGATGCAAGAGATCAAAATGCTTTCAAGCAATCAAACGATATGGAATGATCTTTTTTGGGTTTGGTTGGTTGGTTGGTTGGGGTTTTATTGTTTTGTTTTTTTGGAGTTTTTTGTTTGTTTGGTTTGGTTTTTCAAGACAGGGTTTCTCTGTGTATCCCTGACTATCCTGAAACTCACTTTGTAGACCAGGTTGGCCTCAACTCAGAGATCTGCCTGCCTCGGCATCCTGAGTGCCAGGATTAAAAGCCCATGCCACCACCATGCCCAGTTGCTGTATATTCTATTTTATGATTAAAATTTTGAGCCATGACCCAGGGATAGTGGCGTTCACCTTTAATCCCTGCACTAGGGAGTCAGAGGCAGGGAGGCAAGCCTGGCCTACAGAGTTCTAGGACAGCCAAGACTACACAGAGAAAGCCTGTCTCAAAACACCAAGGGGAAAAAATAGGTGGGAGGAGATAGAGCAGTGGAAAGAGTCTGTGGGGGTTTACCTCATCCCAGGACTCTCTGTCTCTCCTTACTTCTGATGGCCATGAGGCAAGCAGCTGTGCTCCACCAAACCCATTCAACATGCCGTACTGCTTCACCACAGGCCCAGAAACATCAAAGTGATGTCAACTGAAACCATGAGCCACGTTGTGCATGTAAGTGCAGAGTCCAAGGACAAAGGAGCACATCCTATCCTCTTGAGCTGCACTTCCAGGCAGTTTGTCAGCCACCTGATATGAATTCTGGAAACCAAACGTGGTTTGGAAAAGCAGTGCTTGCTTTTAACCACTGAGCCAGACATTTTTTTACTATGATGAAAAAAAGGATACCATGTGAATGTATAAGCCATTTCAACACATAGATTGTTACTTATTTTAAATGTCTATCTAAGAAACAGTCACCACGAGAGACTTATTTTTGGTCTTTGAAACTGAATTTAAGTTAAATCAAGTCAGTTCTCAAAAGAGACAAAACTCTAGTATTAGCATGTATGAAAACTAGGTTTGTGCTCAGTAAGCCAGAAAAGTTGGTCACCAAAAAAACTATTTTAAATATAATAATAATAATAATAATAATAATAATAATAATAATATACTGTGGTGAGTTCTGCTTGCAATCATAGAGTATCTTCCATCAAGTGAATATTTCTGCTGATAGCCACAATATGCCCATAAGAAATGTTACTGCAAAGAAAGGTCTACTATGTGGGTGTGTTAACTAGGGCTTCACACAGGAATTACATGAGAGCTTTTAATACTCCCAAACCCAAGCTAATTCCATCAAGGTCTTTAGGGGTGGGACCAGACACTTATTTGTAAAGCTCCAAGGGGCTGATTCCAATATGCATTTGAAGTCAGAAACCAAAGACCTAAGCAGATCTACTTTATAAAAGTGGAGGGTGGGAGATATTACAGGATGTAACATAACAGAGTGACTGCTGGGTGCCTAGCAGTTCAAAGCATGAGTATATGATGAAAGGAGTTGTACACAGGTGCTGTAACAAACACTTGAACAGAAACATTCATCACCCAATCTTCACACCATCCAAGAGAAAAATAACAAATACGTCAATAGACAAATGGATGAGGAACAAATAAATGGGACATAGCCAAACAAGGAATATACTTTGGGTGTGCATGTGAGTTCATGGAGGACAGAGGTCACCGTGAAGTGTCTTGCTCAGTTCCACCATGTTCTTGCTGAGTCTGGAGCTCTCCCGTTTGGTTAGCTGGCTCCTTCCTCCTTGGCAAACTCCAGAGAGACTCGAGTCTCTGCCTCCTCAGCACTGGATTTACAAGCTGTAATCTTGCAGCTCCTGCTTTTTATGTGGGTGCTAGGAATTGAACTCAGGGCCTCATGGTTGTGTATCAAGCAGTTTACAGACTGAGCCATCTCTTCAGCCCTCGTTTTTAGGATCTGTATCTCTTTTGAAAGTCATGTTCCCTATGCGTTCCCTTTCCCCCTGTAAATTGTTTTATCAGATTTATAAGAAACCTTCCCTTGGTTACCCTAATATTTAAGCTGTCTATGGGCCTGCTCTGAAGGAAAATGAAGCTAGACAAAAAGCTATAGGAAGGCAATGAAGAATAATGGAAATGGTAGCTGTTTCTAAATATACAGAACCTCTCTTTTCTCACCTTAATTGCCTAAGAGCCAAGTGATTGTTAAAAAAAAAAAAGAAGAAGAAGCAATGTGTTATGGAGTTTATGACATACATGACTGAAAAATATGACAAAGTAACATAAAGGATGAAAAGAAACATGAATTACTTTAATAAAGATCTTCTATTCTACATGAACCAATGTAAGATGGGTACAGTAGCCTTGATCTGGAGAGGCCAATTTGATAGAGCTTCTTCTCAAACTTAGCATTCTAAGCTACCAACACTTAAGAGTTAATCCAGCTCAGCTAGTCAGACACCTAGCCAAGGGCCCACTTCTTAAGAAGACAGGCTCACCTTAAACCATATTCAAAAGATATGAAGAACAACTGTCCCTCTAATGAGACACTCTACTTTTCCTTCCCAGCACTCCCACCTTGTAAGCTTAGTCTGCCTGCCTTTCTGAATTACTCAAAAAAAAAATGGAACTTTCCCTTTTTTCTCTATCCTTGCGCTAAGCATTACTCATTTGAGCTCATTTGTATCTTGTGTGGTTTTTTTCCAACATCTAATAAAATTGTTCTCAAGATTTCTTCAGTCTAGTCTCAATTATTTTTTGAGACATCGTCTCACTATGTAGCTCTGGCTGTCCTGGAACTCACTCTGTAGACCAGGCTGGCCTCGAATTCACAGAGATCCACCTGCCTCTGCCTCCCAAGTGATAGGATTAAAGGCATGTGCCACTATTCCTTGCCAAATTCTTTTAACAACAAAATTCAGATTTATGGTAACAAGATTAGTTCAAGGTAGACCAGGACGCATTGGACCTTTAAATTGTGATTCCCAAAAAATAAAAAGAATCCCAACCCTACCTCACACCATGCACAATGAACAAAATCTCATAAACCATGAATATAAGAAATAGTTTAGGAACTGCGGCAATATATGTCGTGTGGGTAACACAAACATGTATAATGCCATTCAATTTTTATGGGTTTCTTTGTCTCTCATAATAACCAACTTTTTAAAATTTTGAAACAGTGTTTTGTAATCCAGGCTGGCCTTGAACTCACAATCCCCTTGCTTCAGCCTCCCAAGTACTGAAATTACAAGCTTATGCCATCAGGCCTCACTGTAATAATCAAGTTTAAGAAGTGTTTGTTCATAGGTTCCTAACATTACTCCATTGACTGTTACAGCCTTGCACCTAAGCATTATTCCCCTGGTCTCTAAAGAAGAAAGAGAAAGGAGGGGTGGATAGATGGCACTAATTTTTAATCTTACCACTAAGCCGTACTATCTGCCAGCCCACACACCTAATCTGAGCTCCTGTGTCTAACTATGATATGAAAGACCTGCACGTTCTGACCTTTGAGGCACCTTCTGGCACTCATTGTCCTCGCTTCCATAGCAATTGTTACCAACCACTGTTTCTAAGAAAACATGCCCCACTCCAAGTCCCGTGGGTCCCTGCTGCCTCCTCCCAGGCACAGCTGTTTGTACCATTACACTTTGATGTAAGCACATCTAATTGGATTCATTCCTTCATGAAAATGAAATAAGCACTAAGCCATTGGCCAGCTAGCCCTTGTGAGTGCCAGCACTGGGGCTGGGGGTTGCATCAAAGCCACATGTGATCTGGGGGGGGGTGCTGATATAGCCTTATAATCCCAGCTATTGGTGGGTGCAAACAGGAGAACCTGGAGTTCAGGATCATCACTGGCTTCATAACAAGTCTGAGGTCAGCTTGAGTCACGTGATATCCTGCCTCAATGAACAGAAACCAAAATGAACAAAAAGCAGCACGTGACTCAGAGCTATGGAGAAGCAGAAGCCAAGGGCAATGTGAGGAAGCCAGTGGATGGTCCCTCTACTCACAGTGCCATAACAAAGTGTCCTAAACTGGGGTAAAACTTGCTTGCAAACCAACATTTCCCATGGTTCTGCAAGTTAGGAAGGCACAAATCAAAGATTCAGTGGCTGGTGGGGGCTGGTTTCTTCTTGCTTTGTCTTCATGACAGAAGGAGTAGAGGAGCTCTCCAGTATCTCACTCATAAGCACACCCATCCTAGGCCAAGCATTGCTATGCACACCTTCAATGCCGCAGGCAAATCTCTGTGAGCTCCAGGCCAGCCAGAGATACATAGTGAGACCCTGCCTCCATAAAAAAGCAGTTTTAAGGGTTCCTCCTTCAAGACTTGTCACCTCCCAAAAGGCCCTGCCTCTCTCCTCATTCTAGCCCACTGGGAATACTTAGGAATACAACCCAAACATTCAGTCCACTTGTGTGCAG